CCTCTGAAATGGCTGAACAGATGTTAACATTTTGAAATTATTATTTCAGAAAAATAAAGTATAATTCCACGCGGACGAAGTCGCGGGTACAGCTAGTGATACATAAAATTGAAAAGTCCTTTCGGAATTTGGTCGGAAAGACGTAATATAAAACAAAGAGCGATCCATCCATATTCCGGGCAGCTGTAGCAACTTTTAATAATCATAAATCATTCATTAATGACTGATTTATTTATAACTAAGAGGATTACGGCCGAGCCAGTTTCCTTATTTAGAACGGCAGCCGTGAAATGGCCTTTGACACTTTACGACAAGTTGATGTTGCGTTTAAATGAATTCTACATTAATGTTTATTTGATGTTTTACTAACAAAATAAGACATTCTTACTAATAAAGTAACTCTGTCTGTCTCGCTTTCACGCCGAAACCATTGAACCGATTTAAGTGAAATATGGTACACAGATAGTCTAGACCCTAACAAAGGACGTAGGCTACGTCTTAATCAAGGGTTCAAAACAAGGGTTGCAAGGGGTTGAAAGGGGGGATGAAAGGTTATATAGATGTATCGTCATTTTGCGTGGCAACAACAAATTCGCGGGCTCAGCTAGAAACTAACTTAAGAAACTAAAATAATAGGTTTTAGAAAAAATTCACTGTGAATTGTATTAGAAATGGGCTCATCCCGATCTTAGTTGGGCCTGGGGGGAAGCTGCAAGTAGTGAAGGTGAGTGTTAATGGATTCTAAAAGGGCCTTTTAAACCTACACCCGTGTCACAAAACACGGGTCTACTTGGGGTTTCCCTTGCGGTAGCCGGCTTCAAAGCCTCAGTCGTTATCTTTTATTAGTGCTTCTTATGATGATGGTCATGATTATTATTATTTAATAAGCTGGAAATTATCAACTTCATCCAGATCAGATTCGAGATTATTATTATATATTAATGTAAATTAAATATTGTACTGGGTGAAAACTGTGATTGGTACAGTACAATATAAATGACGTAGTGGAGTAACTTGAAACAGTCATGCTCGCTATAAAGTTAAAACTTGTGGCGGCGTGGTGAGCCGGATCGATGTGCTTTTTTTTTATATAGCATATGCTGGTGGTCACTCTATTTTCCCAAATTTGAATTTATATGAAATAGTAAATATGTTCAACATTAAAAAAAAATACGAGCTGAGTTTCTTGTCAGTTCTTCTCATCTCGAAATCATTCCGAACTGACGGTAAATTTGACATATCATAAGTCTGTAATAGACCTACATGAATAAAGATATTTTGATTTGAATTTGATTTTTTTTTTATTGTTATATTGTAATAATAAATAATAGTGTAATAGTAGCGATATAATAACTCAACGTATGCTGTAGTTACCTATAAATGTGAGAACAGTTAGTATAAGCATAATGTATAGAATTGTATATATATATAAGAATCACGAAGATTTTTATTGCTGTATCTTGTGTTGGTAATCCTTAAAATATTATTACATTGCACAAATGCAAACCTGTACGTATCCATCACTTTCGGTTAAACATTCCACTAAACATGAAGCCTTCTAGACTATTCCGAAAAGTTAATAAATAAATGAGCCAAGGATGCTGGAGATACTCCGCGAATACTAATTGGAGTGTTTTAATGAGGGGCCACTCAGAGAATATTGCCATTATTTAGTTAATTATATTTTCACGACTGCATTTGTAGACAATACGTTATTTGAATAAAATGCTAGTTAACTATTATTGTTCAGCACATGAAACCTGTTTTTGTATCATCATCATCTGCTTCTTCCTTATCCCATTTTCCCATTTAAACGCCATAAAATAATTGTAATTAATCCTTACTAATATTATAAATGCGAAAGTAACTCTGTCTGTCTGTCTGTCTGTCTGTCTCGCTTTCACACCAAAACTACTGAACCGATTTAAATGAAATTTAGTACGCAGATAGTCTAGACGCCGAGGATGGACATAGGCTACTTTTTAATGCGAAAAAAGGGTTGTAAGGGGTTCAAAATGGAAATACAAGGTTATCTTTATGCGGTTGAATCCTTATTCGTCATATTTTCATTTCACTAGCTAACAACCAATCAACACATCGCGTGCGTTTGCGCCAATAAGGTATCCATCACAGAGAACAAAACCACAGATAACATAATGTAAAACGAAAGATCTTGCCGGAAACATGACGTTGACGTTTAGTGAAAATATTGTTTTTGACACTTTTTTATGATAAAATCGTATATCGTGTGTATGTGTTTTTTCTTTAAACCTGAAATTGGCCGATTGCGAGACAAATTTGGCGATTTTTTTTATCAATTTGTTTTACGGCTCTGGATACAAGCCCAGTTTAGCCCAACTTAAAGTTTTACAATATAAATTACAAAAATTAAAGTCAATATCCAATGTTAAATAATAATAAATGTCAAATGTTGTTTCCCTGTTCTGAACAACTTAAAAAAAAACTATTAAGTTTTCTTTTTAAGTTGTTCAGTACAATCACAATTTCTTCAAATTTTATTATTTACATTTTTTAAAGAATGTTGTGGTGTGGCACTATCCGAAATTAAATTATTTACCCATTTTTGTAGGTTATACAGAAATAATGTGTGGGTGTTTATTTAAAAAGCATTAACACAAAATTAATAAAGTATAGGTATTAATAAATATATGGTTGTTGTATCAAAATAGAATTTTCTTATTTTTCACTAAAATAAAAACTAACTGTCTTTTTTATAAAATAAATGACCTTTTCATTATGCCATATATTATGGAACTATTTAAATTATTTAGCTGATTGTAAGAAACAAAATGTTGGTTTGTAGATTAATACTGTAAAATTATTATTTGTACGGAAACGATAAAAATATATTTTTGTGCTGCGACAAAAACTAATATTATAAATGTGAAAGTAACTCTGTCTGTCTGTCTCGCTTTCACGCCAAAACTACTAAACCGATTTGAATGAAATTTGGTATACAGATAGTCTAGACCCTGAGAATGGACATAGGCTACTTTTTAATGCGAAAAAAGGGTTGTAAGGGGTTAAAAGGGGGGATGAAAGATTGTATGGAAGAATCGTCATTTTTGAAGCTAGAAGCTTGAAACTTATTTTTGAGACTGTTGATTAAATATAAATAAAAATGACATTCAATGTTTGTAAAAAATTACCCTTAAGGGGGTAAAATAAAATAGGGGATGCAAGTTTTTATGTAAATTCGTCATTTTTGAAGCTAGAAGCTTAAACTTATTGTTGAGACTGTTGATTAAATATAAATACATATGACATTCATTGTTTGTAAAAAAATTACCCTTAAGGGGGTAAAATAAAATAGGGGATGCAAGTTTTTATGTAAACACGTCATTTTTGAAGCTAGAAGCTTGAATCTTATTGTTGAGACTGTTGATTAAATATAAATACATTGACATTCATTGTTTGTAAAAACAAATACCCTTAAGGGGGTAAAATAAAATAGGAGATGCAAGTTTTTATGTAAAATCGTCATTTTTGAAGCTAGAAGCTTGAAACTTATTTTTGAGGCTGTTGATTAAATATAAATAAATATGACATTCATTGTTTGTAAAAAAATTACCCTTAAGGGGGTAAAATAAAGTAGGGGATGATAGTTATTATGTAAATTCGTAATTTTTGAAACTAGAACGATGAAACTATTTTCATTGGTTCTTTTGGGGTAGATTTTTAAAAACCCCACTAATGTTATAACTGTGAAAGTAACTCTGTTTGTCTTTATGTCAGTCTTACGCTCCAAAACAAAATAAAAATTTAAATGAAATTTGGTACACAGTTAGTTTACACCCGGACAAAGAATATAGGGTACTTTTGAATGTGAAAAAAGGATTGTAAGGGGGTTGCAATGGTAGGCTGTATGGAAGAATCGTCATTTTTTAAAACTAGAAGTTTGAGACTCATTTTTAGGCTGTTGTTTAAATATCAATAAATATGATATTCAATGTTTGTAAAATGTTTACTCTTAGGGGGAGGGGGGGTAGTAAAATAAAATAGAGAATGAAAGTTATTGTGGAAATTTGCTGTTTGTGTGGTTGTGGAAGCTAGAACGATTAAACTTTTTTCTTTGTCTTTTTAGGGTTAGTTTATTAAATACCTTACTGATATTATAAATGTGAAAGTAACTTTATCTGTTTGTCTCGCTTACACGCCAAAAATACTGAACCGATTTAAATTGAAATTTGAAACAGACATAGATAGACTAGATCCTGAGAAAGGACATAGGTTACTTTTTAATGTGAAAAAGGGTTGCAAGAGGATTAAAAGGGTAGATCCAAGGTTATATAGATGTATCGTCATATTTAAAGCTAGAAGTTTGAAATTTATTTTTTAGCCTATTGATTAAATATTTATTTTTACTTTTTATCATTTTTGAAGCTAAAACGATGAAACTTATTTATTTGACTTATATTGTGTTAACACGTTAAACGCCATGGGGGTCACCGGTGACCTCACCCTTCCTCTATCATAGCGCCATGGGGGTCACCGGTGACCTCAACGTATAGTCATATTCAAACTACTTTTTCTCGCCGCCGGCCATACTGACTGTTACTTTATTCGTACTCCGTGACCGGCACGGCGCTGTAGAACTATACTGCGCAGTGGGACAAACATACCTTGTAAGGAATTGAAAAAATGAAAGATAGCGAAAAAAGTAACCAAAATAAAAATTCAGGATATATAATTCAAATTAGTCTTTATTATTTAAACGAAAATTAGCAGTCTTTATTTTTTAATGAAATACAAACATAAAAATCAGTTTTACTGAAAAATAAAATAAAGTTCTCATTAGTAAGCATAATCACAAACAACCATTAGAAATATAAATAATTAGCCATAATATTTGACAAAACATGCTGTAAAAGATGAGATAAGAAACCTTTTATAGCATCAACATATTAGCGATGGACATAATTGAAACATTTTAGACAAAAGTGAGGCTCCCCCTTACATTGCACACAGTACGTACTCACTTTCTTAGCTTTATTCTTAGCTACTTTACGACCAAATTCCTGTACTGAATCTTTATAACATTGCACGCAAAAACGACGCGTGTCTCTTACTTTTCCTTCCTTTAATTTTAGAACATGCTTGAGTCTTTTAGGTCTTTCATTGATAATTATTTCTTGGGAATCTGCTGGCCGAGTCAAATAATTTATGAGAGCCCTCCTAAAGTCGACAATTGAAGATTTGCTCTGCTTATTTTCATTGTACATGACCCAAGCATTTACAACTGCCGTATTTAGAAGTAGTTCTATTGCCAATTTTCTGTACCATTTTACGGTTTTCCGCAATGGCGAAGAATAGGCACCCATCTGGTCACTCATGTCTACAGACCCTTTCGATTTATTATAATCCAAAATAACTTTTGGTTTACGAATCTGTTTGCCTTTTTTCACCACCACAGCAATTTTGTCGGAAAGCTTTGTCGACAGAATAAGCACGTCCCTCTTATCTTTCCATTTAAGCACTGTTACTCCATCTTCATTCTCCATAGCCATTGTTTCACCTTTTTGCAGTTTCGAATCAACAACAGCCTTAGGCAATCCTCTTCTGTTTTTTCGCAATGTGCCAATTAAATGGGTTTGCTTCTCCAATAACCGATAAGCCAGTTGCAAGCTAGTGTACCAATTATCAGTTGCTAGCGTGTGTCCTTTGTCAAATATATTTTCACATAGTGCCATCACCACTTTTGTTGGCGTAGTATTTATTGCGTCAATGTTTTTCCCACTATACAAATTAAGTTTGCAAGTATATCCGGGAACAGTACATAACTTAAATAGCTTCATGCCATACTTGTGTCGCTTACTTTTATTGTATTGCCTGAATATTATTCGACCTCTGAAAGGTACTTGGCTTTCATCCACACAAACATCTTCTTTAGGCGAATAATATTTCTGGAAAGTAGCATTGAGAGCATCGATTAAAGGTCTTATTTTGGCAATACGATCATTTCTGTCGACAGATAAATTGTCGCTAAAGTGTAGGTATTGCAGTAGTAACTCGAAGCGGTTCCTACTCATAACGGTGGCTGGAAAAGTTTGTCCAAGTATCTTGTCTTTGCTCCAATAATAAGCTAATTTCGGCAGCTTTACTACGCCCATAAACAAGACCAGCCCAAGAAACTGTTTTATTTCTGTCTTGTTTGTTGGCTTCCATGAATGAGACCTTCATCCAGGCTTTGTTTGCCTGGCTGTGATGTTTCGACTTGCGAACAAATTTGTCTGCTCAGCAATCATTTCAAGAATTTCTTCAGGCACCAACAGATCATAATACTGGTCAGGGCCAGCTTCTTTCAGCAAATTAGAATATGGAGGTTTCATACCCTCGAACTCGGTGAAAGGAATCACTGATGGCTGTCGTCTTTTTGGCCTCGACCATTTTGAGGAAATACGGTCATTTTGCGTTATATTGGCGGTAACAAAATTTTCAGCCGACTCACTGTCACTATCACTATCGCTTGCGATAACCAAACGTCTTTTCTTTTTCGGTAATTGCATGGGTTCACTATCCGATTCTACGAGAGCGTCATTGTTTATAGAAGCGATCGAAAAAGAAATTTCTGACGCGTTGATTTGCTTCCATTCATCCTGCGTAAATTCGAAGTCCTCCATAGCTAAATCCATATCTAAAGGCTCGCACATTAACTATTCAATAAGAAAATGATGACAGCTAAGATAGTAGGAACGTAATTGATCTAGTAACACACATTCTATCACCGTAAGCGCGAGCGCACTACTGGTGTAGCGGGTGGCCGGCGGGGTGGGCGGCGCGGCGCCGGGTACCGTAAAATATATTTTCTGTATTTGTGCGCCATGGGGTGCACCGGTGACCTCAGCTATGTATTTGACTGTAACTATGTAACCCATGTACAGAATTGAATAAAACTTATTTTCTATACGTATCGTAACATAATAAACAAATTACGACCAAAAGTATTTTTACGATTTTTATTTTTTTCTATCGGCGTTTAACGTGTTAATTGAGTTAAATATTTTTTCATTATTTACGCGGACGAAGTCGCGGGTACAGCTAGTAAATAAATAAAAACTTCTTTTCTTTCTGTCAACACGGTCTATCATTTATTATAAATTTTATTGATTTTATTTTATTTTTTCCCGTCCCTATGTACTCGTATGCTTAAATATTTAAAACTACTCAACGGATTTTGAAGCTGTTTTCTTTAATAGATAGAGTGATTCAAGAGGCAGGTTTACATGTGTAATACATGTACACCCGGGCAAAGCCGGGGCGAGTAGCCAGTATTATTATAAACTACGCGTTTTCATCATTTAGACACCCATACAGTCACCGATCCGTTACACTTACCGACTTTAAAAAAATATTTAAAAATTTAAATTATGTGTAATAATATAATTTAAATTTCGTCTCTAACAATTATAATTGTTGTATTACTTCAAATGGCTGTACGGAGCACCCTATAGGTAATCCAACCCTCTCCCTTTCCCTCCCATCCTTTGACATCTCCCATTCCTGTGATCTCTTGCGTCGTTGACTTCCCAACAAGCTGTAATACGATTATTAGGGCCTCCATCTGTTTTACGAATATCGCTTCTCGATTTAGTAAATACAAATATAGAATTACTAGCTTTTGTCCGCGGCTTCGCTCGCGTTAATTTATCCCCTTAGAGGTGGAATTTATCAAAATCCTTTCTTAGGGGATGCCTACGTCATAGTAGCTTTTTGCATGCAAAGTCTCAGCCCGATCGGTTTAAAATTGACAAAGTTGCATACAAACTTTCATCCCCAATTTTATCCCCTTGGGGGTAGAATTAATCAAAATCCTTTCTTAGCGGACGCCTAGATCACAACATCTACCTGCATGCCAAATTTCAGCCCGATCCGTCCAGTGGTTTGGGCTGTGCGTTGATAGATCACTATGTTAGTAACCTTTGAGTTATATATATTTAGATTTAGAATTATAGAAGAATTGATTTTATAATTGGAATTTATTTGTTAATGTTCAAGCAATATTTTGTATTCATGAGTAGGATTGTTTCAAATTCAAATTCAAATTCAAAAATCATTTATTCATATAGGACATTTTAGCCGCTTATGAACGTTAAGTTTTTACATTATATTTTTTTTTCCCTACCGTCCAGTTCGGTACATAGATCCAATTCTTTGTTTTATCGGCCTTAGTTTGTATAGGCCTGGGTGTTTTCTATGTCTAGATGACGCTATTTTTTTAATTTAGAATTCTTTATTGCCTTAATATTAAAAGTAGATACATAAAAAATATAATATATTTGATGCTATGTGAATTGTCTTAAGATATTATTCCTGAAATTATTAATTCCATATCACTGAAAAAAAATTTTATAGATATTTTTTGAGAATTCACACAGCGCCATCAACTCACATATACCACAGATAATATAATATTACATACATATACCTAAGTTAAGCTAGCTAAAGCTTGTGTTATGGGCACTAGACAACTGATACAAATACATAGATATTTTATTTCGTAATGTACTTACGAAAAATAATCAATATATTTGTATCAGTTATCTAGTACCACAGATAATGTTATACTAGTACCCATAACACAAGCTTTAGCTAACTTGAGTCTAGATAGCGCTGTGTGAATTGTCCTGAGATTATTATTATTTCTTCAATTTTCATAAAAAGAGGTACAAAGTTTTTGCTTTACCTACGTCATATAGATAATATTATTTGCTTATATTATTTAATTAACTTTGAAATTAATTGATTAATTTCAAAGTTAATTAAATATTCAGTACTAACTACTCGCCCCGGCTTCGCACGGGTGTACATATATTATACATATAAACCTTCCTCTTGAATCACTCTATCTATTATAAAAACCGCATCAAATTCTGTTGCGTAGTTTTAAAGATAGATGCATACGTGACGGACAGACAGCGACAGCGACTTTGTTTTACACTGTATAATTATTCGGCATTGAACATCGGAATATAGTGTACAATGTTTCACAGTTTATTACAGTTGGCTAAACTATTCGATGTTCATCACAAGTCGCAGTTAACCAGTTCGAATTGAAAATGTAATTAAGAATAAAATTGTTGCTTTACTTTTTCATCTCCATAACTTTGTAACACTCTACCAATTCTTAAATATTATAAATATATCTCGCTCTTAATATAATACTAAATTAACTCATCGTCATCATCATCAGTTTTTTAGAGGAAGCCTTAATTCAGCTCTGAAGATGTCCACTGCTGAATTAAGGCTTCCCCTAAAAAACTCCACGACGATCGGTCCTGCGCTGCTCGTATCCAACGTCTTCCAGCGATCTTGACCAGATCGTCGGTCCACATTGCTGGAGGTCTTCCCACGCTGCGTCTTCCGGTCCGCGGTCGCCACTCGAGGACTTTACTGCCCCAATTGCCATCTGTCCTATAAGCTATGTACCCTGACTATTGCCACTTCAGTTTAGTATGTCGCAGTCAACCAGTTCGAATCTATGCATATAAATAAAATTGGAGTGTCTGTTTGTAATATTGAAATAACCATTTTTACTATATGCATATGAATATAAATACTATAGCCGTATAGCCGGAACAAACAGATAGACAGACAAAAACTGTAAAAATTGTTCTTTTGGTGTATGTACCATACCAAAAGAACATTTTTTACAGTTTTTGTCTGTCTATCTGTTTGTTCCGGCTAATCTCTGAAATGGCTAGACCGATTTTAATGTGACTTTTTTTGGTAGGTAGCTAATGTAAGAAGGAGTAACTTAGATGACTTTTATTTTAGAAAATATCCTTGATTTTAGAAAAATAAAGTTAAATTCGGACGAAGTCGCGGGTGCAGCTAGTTGTATATAAGTTTGCTGCTTCAGTTAACAAATCTAACAAGAAACGCAATAAAAACAAATAACTAAATAGTTGAACTATTAACATTTTCTCTAACTATCCCGTTTGGAATTTAACTTGATCTTTTATTTTACATTCATATCACAAACAAAGCGGAGGTAGTATAAAATAGAAATAATCTTTATTCAAATAAACTTAGTATAAGCACTTTTGAATAGTTAATTTTAAACTTTCGTGTTAAATACATTATTTAAATTATTAACCGAGTCTTAACACGAATAATTTTATGGCAAATAAAGGTATTTACCTCTCTCGACGTTTCGACTAGGTTGCACTAGCCGTGGTCACGAGCTGACTGGAGTAACAGCGATGTCAATGTAGATAGGTGACAGCAGTTTTTTCTTCATCTACCGTCACTAGATTGTTTAACGAAAGTTCGCGACATACATACAGCACTCACGGTTTCCGTACACTTATTGACTATTGATGCTACTGAACTTAATATTTTTTTTATTCCACCGCTCGTTTGGAAAGCTGACACCTAACAATAATAAGGAAGAAACTTGCGTGATGGTCTTATAAATAAACAAGCTATTCGCCCTGGCTTCGCTCGAGTGTACATATATTATACATATAAACCTTCCTCTCGAATCACTCTATACATTAAAAAAAACCGCTTCAAAATCCGTTGCGTAGTTTTAAAGATTTAAGCATATATAGGGACGGACAGACAGCGACAGCGACTTTGTTTTATACTATGTAATGATGGCAAGCTATACATGATGAACTACTTACACCACCCGGCGTGACGCGCGTTTTATCCATGTTGCCATTACATAGGATTAAGATGTTACGTCGTCGTAAACTATGATTTCACTGCTATATAACCTTTTGAATGTCCGTCGTCTGTCGCAGCGACTAAAAATGCCAGCTGTATATTTTAAAATGCGTTTCAATCTTATAGTATATATAGGGACGGACAGACAGCGACAGCGATTTTGCTTTATACTATGGCATGAAGCATTACATATTTATAATTTTGTGTGAATATAAATTGACAAGTCTATATTAATATTATAAAGCTGAAGAGTTTGTTTGTTTGAACGCGCTAATATCAGGAACTGCTGGTTCGAATTGAAAAAAATGTTAGTCCATTTGTCGAAGAAGGCTATATAATATAACATTACGCTACGACCAATAGGATCGGAGTAGCAATGAAAAATATTACGAAAGGTGAATGAAATAGGGTCAGCAAGTAGCTAGATAAAAATATATAA